TTACACGTAAAATTTTTTTCAAACACTTAATGAGACCACCCTGGCATCCTTGGGTCTCTTTTGGGAGAAAGTGTGGAATCAGCAGTGGAAAGGACACACGACTTCCTTTACACGCCTTCTTTTTTACTTTCTTAAGAAGCTTGTATTACAAAATTGGGAAATGCAGTAGAAAATTTGAACTGTAGCAGTACTAATGATAAGAACGAAAGTGGAATTGGCTAGTGCACAGTGACATTTCTCATTCTTGCTAGGATGATACCTGCCAGTTCAATGAGAGATCTAAGACTAAGATTTCATTATAAGAAAGCATGAAATTTGCAACATAATCCTAGTATTTTTATGAATCTCTATGCTTACTTCCACAGTGGTTCCACCAGTCTACATTGAAAAGAATTCCTTTTCTCCCATAGCACCCCAACATTCATTGTTGCTTGATCTCTCTCTCCTCTCTCTCTCTCTCTCTCTCTCTCTCTCTCTCTCTCTCTCTCTCTCTATCTCCCCCCCCTCCCCCGTTTTGTACTAGGGATCAATCTCAGAACCTTGCACTTTCCAGGCAGGTGCTTATGCCCCTAAGCTGTCTCTTTGCCCCTGTTTGTTGATTTCTGAATAGTGGCCATTCTTTTTGGATGAGATAGAATCTTGGTGTTGTTTTAACTTGCATCTCTTGAATGACCAATGGTGCTGAACATTTTTCATATATTTTGTTTGCTGTTTGTATTTCATCATCTGAGACATTCTCACTCTTCTCAGATGCCCACTTATGGATATTGTGAAATGGCAAGAAATTTTTCAAAAAGAAAGAGGAATTAGCATGGGAGAAAAGAGAAAGTAGGAAGGAAAGAACAAGGAATAAAAATATAGAATAGTTACACTGCTAGTATCTCTTAGTTCATTCAAAATAAAGGTTTGTGCTGATATCATTTGGAGTATTTTTATGCCTGTATCTTGTACTCTGAATAACTAGTGATATGCAATGTTTTAGCTGTTATTATTCTGCTATTATTTTGTTTTGAAATTTTGGATTTCTTCATGAAATAAAAAATTGCATCTTAATCCTGTTTTACTTTTGGCCTTGTTTCTCATTTCTTATATTGTTTCAAAATTAATGTATGTGTTTTCCTGTGACTTTGGAGTCTGAATAAGTATATAGCCTCTACTTCCTGTCTCTGAATTACAGATTTAATTTGTTAGAAATATGATTATCACACATGCACTCCTGAGATGGATCCTTCCATCATTATAATTCATTGCTTATCTCTCTATGGTGTCCAGGGCAGAGGGGACAAAGTGACTTTTCCAGACAGATCCCCTAATGGGAGGTGCCAGAGCTGTCACAGAGTGGCCAGGTCTCACCAGGGAATCATGAGACTCCAAGCAGAGAGAGTTACAGTAATTAGCAGCCCTGCTGGAGTCACAAGCCAGGGGCTGCATCCAAAGATGGTCCAAAAGGTTGGTGTCCAAAGAAATGAAAAGAATTAATGGGAGGGGCCAGGGTGATGGCTCAGTGGAATAAGCACTTCCCTGGCAAGTGCAAGGGCCTGAGTTCATACCCTGGCTCCGCAAAAAAAAAAAAAAAAAAAAAAAAAAGAATCAACGGGAATCAAGGATGCTTTCCAGGAAACTGAGGGCAGACCCAGTAACATTTCCCAATCCACTGCCTGAACAATGACTTTGATCTGGGAAAAGTTTAGACCCCAAACTCAATAGTTATGAAGGAAGGTGTGTACACAGGTTGGGACCCCTATAACTCTAGGAAAGAATGACTCATGCTGGTTTCCCAATTCTCTAGCTAAGCCACCTGTGAACATTTACTAGGTTGCTGTGCTTTAGGAAAATAGGAGTGCCCCATCATTACCTTAGGGAAGCCAAAAAAAAAAAAAATCCTTCTGCCTTGGGGCCTGCCCCATAGCTCAGTTCTTTAAGTGGTTGCTTCAACAGATCTGTCAGGCTCAAGTTGTGATCCCCACATCTCCAGTCAGCCAAAACTGCCCTGAGGGCATTCGGAGCCAAAAAGAAAAAAAAAATCTTCTGCATTACCTTAGGGAGAAATACAGAGATCTCACACAGGATTTCTGAAATTAAAGGAAAATGAAGGTTAAAAAAAAAAAAAAAAACCCAAAAACAAGCAGATATGTGAATCCATCAAATAATACTGAGTACATGCCACTACTGTAAGAAGGTACTTTTGTAAGGGTCGAGTCGCTGCGAAGGAAGACCCCAAGAGTCGGTCTCTCATGCAAAGAACAAAGGGAATTTTATTAACTGTGTGCACACAAGGCGGTCTGAACATGCAGGAACAGAGAGCAAACGGAACTGACCGTGGGTGGTGGTTTTAAGCCCCAAAGACAAAGGGAGGAGGGATTTTGCAGGCGCGGTTACAGAAGCAAATGGCATTGGTTAGTTTGGGTTGGTTCCAAAAATAATTGGTGGGTTTGAGAATATATGACCTTTTGAGGAAACTAAGTGGGGTAGGCTACAGGGCAACTAAATAGTTAACTATGCGGTTTCAGCCTCATTCCGAGAACTGGTGGGATTGTCTATGCAAGGTGTCCTATTTCACAAGGATGCCCCCAGGTTGGAGGTGGAATGTTTACCTAAGCCAGGCCTGAGGCTTTATGACTTCATCTGGGTTCCAAGATAAGGGTTACTTAAGCCCTATAGTCAAGGACCAGTAGGTGGTCCCTTGTGACCAGAGTCTGAACTTTAAAAAAAATTTTTTTTTTGGGGGGGGGCTTTACACTTTGATTACAAAACAGAAGATAGAATCAACAGAACAACTCAGCTCTGTTATATGGGAGAAAGAAAGAACGGCTGCTATGAGCAGCTACCTGTGTCTCAGTAACTACCAGAAACCAGTGAGACAGGAGTTAGAATTCTATGGAGCAGTATGGACCACAGTCCAAAATGGAGTTAAAAGCTGAATAGGGAGCCTGTTGAGTAAGCCCACTTCAAGGATTGCTCCAAAGACATCTGCTAGAGGTACTGAAGCTGTCCTTGACCTCCTCGGAGCATGATCAGTGCATGTTCAGGAGAGTCACTGGCTCAAGGGCTCCCTAGCACAGCATGGACATGATGCAATCAATGCACACACAGGATCCTAAAGGGTACATAGTCTCCCAGAAGGCACAGAGCCTATTTCAATTTATTTATCTGAGACCGGGATCTTGATACAAAGTTCAGACTCATAGTGATCTTCCTGACTCAGCCTCCCCAGCATTGGGATTACAAGTGTGCATCACCACGCCCAGTTTGGAGGCCAGTATGGCATGTGGTGCTAGCTATTGAACTTGGGACCTTGCAGGTGGTTAGACTGCTGACCTATCTCCCTAGCCCTATGCAAATTATTTATACAACAGTCTGACCTACCTTCCAAACTCCTAAAATGCCTATACAAAGAGTATATGTGGGTATCTTACTTAAGATGTATTCCCATGTAATATGAACTCTACTTCCTTCCTTTTTATATACTTTAAATACATTTACTTGCATCCTACATCTTCCACTAAGGTCCACCCTTCATCACCTTGGCTCATTCAACTGTGACATCTGGTGAGCCTGCCAGGAGGATGTTACCAAACCTGGGGAGAGCTCAGGGGACAAGAGCCCTGGGACTGTACTGGACAGCAGCCCAGAGACCTCACCAGACATCAGGGGCATCAGCAATCCAGAGACCTCACCAGGCACTGGAGACATCACAGCTCCATAGACACTGAGAGTCCTTGACAGAAGAGGCTGACCAGAAAACCTAGCCAAGAAGAGAGCAACTCACTTTTCCTCCAGTTTCCTTTACACAAACGATGAAGATAGCTGTTGAGTGTTCAGGATAAGCACTGACCGAACTATATGAAAATGAGTAGATTATGGGGGCAGAGGTCTTCTGTCCTTCTGGGGATCAGGAGAACCCCTACCAGTCAGTTGGGTCTTATACTTTGTTGTTGATCCTCACAGTGTGGAAATTCTGTCTTGGAGACTGTGGCACAGGCTTCAGCAGGATGCGTGCCAGCTGAGCTGAGCAGGGAAAAAGGCCACCAGTTGGCAAGAGCTTTGGCATAGCTGCCCACAGATGGGCCAGGAGGCCTGGACCTGGCCTGCAGAAGTGTTGCTTTTCACCATGTAATACTCTATAACTGCCCTAGACATGGGCAGCATTTCGTGTAGCATCAAGGGTGTTGGTGCTTACCTGCCGGTCATGGACTCACATTGAGCGCTTCCTTTCCATCGGTTTTAGTGATTGTCCTTCTCCTTTTCTGATTCTTCTTCCCAATCAGGATTTCAGTATCAGAGACTGTTCCACTTGTTTAGTTGTTGATTCTAAATAACTAAAAAAAAACTCACAGTTACAGTGTCTTCCAGCCTGAGAAGAGAGAAATTGGTCTGCTTAAAGCTCCTGCCACTGTATTTGCATGCCCAAGCTGGTGGCAGGCGGTTGGTGGTGGCACAAGCAGTCAACAGGCAGGCTTTCTCATCTGCTCTGGTAAGTTCCTATAATCTGACCTAAACTTGTCATTTTCCAGAATATTTTGCTTATATTGTTTTGCTCTCATTTTTTCTTTTCTTTCTTTTTTTTTTTTTTTTGGTGATAATAATAGCTTAAAGTTTATGCTGTTATCTGAAAGGAAATGTAACATAAATCTGTTGA